TTTAAATCATCTTAGTTGCTCTTCTTTGCACTTTTTCCAAAGTCTCAACATCTTTTTTGTAATGTGTACAACATCTTTTTTAAAAAAATAATTCACTAGAAGCTAGCTGGATGTACAGTTGCATTGAATGAACAGAGATGTTTCAAATGTCTCCTGAATGGATGTCAGAATGAACTGGAGGATGATGATTATTACTAACTGGAATCCAATATCATATTAGTGGACTTTTGATTTGTAAGTATTTTTTCCATGTGCTTCCCACATCAGAAATTCATGGACCTTAACAAGTACTCCAGAATATTTAGAGTTATGTCTAAAATACAAATATCCCCACTCTGGGTGAAAATTAAGTCACCCATGTGACAATCTATTGAATTCATCCATTTCCAGAAACTTTTAACAGCTGGATTCCACCTTGATCAATTCTCCATTTTAAGATCACCCATTCAGAAAAATCTTAGCCAGAGAAACAAACAAAAATATATTATGTAGTGATTTTATCCTTGACAACTCTATGAGTTGTCTATGCCCCCTTTTGGTTTTTTTGGTTTCCCATTTGTTTATAGATACAAAGCAAAACCATTCTCCAGTATAACTCTTCTTGTTTTAAACAGATCACAATAGGTGTGAATTATACAGTTCTGTCTGTTTTGTCAGCTTTCCATTAAGCTGATTATATCTACTGTATGTCTTCATTAAAACCAACTACACCAACCTTGGCTTCTGTTCTAATGCTATTCCACCAGCTATGTACAATGTCCTTCCTCAAGTATCTGTAGACTGAGTGTGTTCCTTATGGCTCCCAGTCTTAAAAATCCTACTGAAATCAATAGGACATATTGAAATGTTTAGAATCAAAGGTGTCCATAGGAAGAGTGGGGATGATGTAACTAGTGAAACAGGTATTACAATATCATCATGCAAGCTCCACTTCTGAAATATTTGTGCAACAGTGCAATACTAGTATAAAATGGCAGAGTTGTGACAGGATGACACCACATAAGATTTATCATTTTGGCATTATCATGATTAGGAATGGACGTATGTTTAGAAGTGAGTTGAAATAAACACCATATGGTCAAATACACAAACATAAGAAAATGAGAAGTGGATATTCAGATGCATACACAACTGACTTAGGAAATCTGGGTTTATAGCATAAATATTTTAAACACTATAAATTTTAGGAAACATTTACTACGGCTATGTTTGATGATCCAAGTGAGTATGTAGCATATAATTATCAGAGACTTTCTCATATGAATAATTTGGCCTCATAAACAATCTTGCTGGGAGGGAAAATGAAAGGTTTTCTTTCTACGCCCTCCCCTGCTCATTTTTCAAATTAGAACTAGCAATACAATTTATATTTTCTTTCTAATGATGGATGGACAGCTAGATAAGCAGCTAATATTACCTGATACTGATTCAGTTAATGATGGATGACTGATAGCGAGGTGATTAACTAAAATGCACCGATGTAGACAACAATAATATTAATGTATATGAATGCTACAGAGGGGAAGCTAAGATATTGAGATGTAAAACCAATAGGGACTTAAGTTACCCAGGGACTTAAGGCAACTTCTATATAAATAAATTCTATATAAATTCTGTCTCTGTTTAAATGTATGTGAATGTGCAAGTAGATTAGAATTTACTTTGCCAGTTGAAATATTATGGTTTGATGAAAATAGGGTCCAAAGTTCATAAAATTAAGTTTGATCCCATGATTCCTAGATTAATGCATGAGTTAGAAGAGTAAATAATAAAGATTATAAAGATTATTGGTTGTATACAGTGAAATTATGTATTCTAATTTAGATTTAAAATAGTAGTGCTTTATAGCATTATCTGGGTGGTTTATAAATGTCATCATATTGCCCCCAACAATCTGTGTCCTCATTTAATCCATCTCAGAAGGATGGAAGGCTGAGTCAACCTTGTGTCCATCAGGATAGAACTCCAGACTGTGGGCAGAGTTTGCCTACAATACTGAATTCTGATCACTGTGCCATCAGGGCTCCCAGGACACTATTGGATTTAAAATTTAAATTTAACAATTTTACCTGAGCCTAAGAGCAGCTACGTAACAGTGAAAATAGTAAAGAGAGGGTTGTTGAAGCCCTATTTTTTTTTTTTTTACAATGGGAGAGAGAAGACATAGATGTGGAAATGAACAAGTTGTATAGAATTAACACAAGCTATGAAAAGTTAAGAAATGTATTAAGAAACATTTTTACACTGAACTAAACATTAAGAATAGTAGAAAAGGCATGAGAGAAAAGGATATAAAATTAACTTGTTTGATCAATGATAAGATAATTAATGCTTTTATAAAACTTTGGAAACCCTTTATGGACTTTCTGCTGAAAATGGACAGAAATGAATTGATGGCTTCTGGATTTGTCAATTGAAAAGGGTTGAAGATGGGAAGAAGCAACTATGTAATATAATCTTAAAATGAGTAGAATGATACTAAGTTTGTTTATAATGCTATAAAGAAGATCTGAAATTACTTTTTAAACATATTTTTCTTTCCTTATTTTCTGCACTTTTTCTGTATCTTTTCTTGTTTTAATCTACAGCTGATAGAACAACATCTATCGGCTGTGGCCAGGGGGACCTTTGCCCAGGTTCGCCTGGTGCACCAGTTGCGGCCTTATTTGGACCGGGAGGCTCTACTCACGGTCACTCATGCCCTTGTCACCTCAAGACTGGATTACTGTAATGCGCTCTACATGGGGCTACCCTTGAAGAGCGTTCGGAGGCTGCAGTTGGTTCAGAATGCAGCCGCGAGAGCGATTGTGGGTGCACCAAGGTACACCCACGTGTCACCTATCCCCCGCGAGCTGCACTGGCTTTCTGTGGGTCTCCGGATGCAATTCAAGGTGTTGGTTATCACCTTTAAAGCCCTTCATGGCTTAGGACCAGGTTACTTACAGGACCGCATACTGCCGCATAGTTCCCAGAGACCGGTGAAGTCCCACAGATTGGGCCTCCTTCAGGTCCCGTCGGCCAGATAATGTCGGCTGGCGGGCCCTCGGGGAAGGGCCTTTTCTGTGGTGGCTCCGACATGGTGGAATCAACTTCCCCCCGAGATTCGAACTACTCCCACCTTGCCGGCCTTTAAAAAAGCCATTAAAACTCTCCTGTTCTGGCAGGCCTGGGGTTGATGTCCCCGTGGGGGCCGGGATACGATTGGGACATGCTGTATGAAAGCACTTATTTTACTGTTTTATTGTTATATTTATTGTTTTAATTTTGTACACCGCCCTGAGTCCCTAGGGATTGGGTGGCATATAAATTTTATTAATAAATAAATAAATAAAAATAAAATCTTTAGTATTTTTTCATTTTTATCTTTTACTTGTGGAAAAATCTAATAAAAATTATATTCAAAATATAGAAATATAAACAGAAGATCAGAGTATCTTCTAATTCTATCTACAAATAAACTATGATGGATATCCCACAATTCTCAGATTTCTGATTACAACTTCTCAGTTATCTAACATTCCGAATCAGAGAAAAAAAATTGAAGTTTTTTTATTACAGTCATGCCTTTGTTACTCAAAATCATATTCAGATGACAGCACAAAGGGCATCTTAAATCCACCCTCTCTCTGAGGGGAATGGAAGTCTCTGGCAATGATGTTGCTCCATTATTAGTTCAATCTTCTCCCCTACTTTTTGTTTGGAAACTAAATATAAGTAGGTGTGCCAACAATCCAAGAGATTTAACATACTTAACATTTAAAAATTGCATCTCATCTCATCTCATCTCATCTCCTCCCCCATCATTCATGCAATCTTTCTAAACCATCCAATACAGTCATAAGGTTGACCCTTCAAGATAAATGTAGTTCCCAGTGTAGTTCATAGGGTTGTCTATTTATATGGTGCATATCAAGACCAGCTTCTGTGTTTCAAGGTTGAACTCCATGTTATATAAATTCTATAGGAAAAAAAAGGAGAAGGAGATGTATAGTAAAATAAGTATTATGCAATATGGCATGGACTCTCACAACTGATTATGCATTTTGTTTTACCGTATATTTTTATTATTTCCAAGGATTTTTTCACCATTTAAAAAGAATGTTTCAGGTGATACATAAATAAAAACTAAGAATGTCTGCAATTCTTGGGATTTGGGGACTGCTTCTGCTCTGGCAACAGATGTGTCAATACCTAAATGTTTGACCAGTTCACACTAAGCAAAATTTTTATGATACCTTCCAGTGCTCCATTCACTCATATATTCACAGAACCATGAATATCTCTCCACCTTGCTTCCCAAACTAGGTTTGATTTCCTGAAGAATTCAGATTAATCAGTATAATTTTCAAAAGGCTTGATCAGTCCATAAAATTTTGACCAGCCTTACCTCCTGTGCTTTTCCACCTGAATGCCATTGCTTCATCCAATTGATAAAGGACCAGCTGCTGTTTCAAGAACCAACTTATGTATTTTTATATGTATGTGAGAACCATACCTTGTAATGTTTTCTTAGAAATTGTGAATTTCTATATTATCAGTTCTGTTAGAACAAACTTTTCTGCCCCTTTGTAACTTGCTTTGAGGGGGCTTCACACTTACTGTCTTTCACACATCTCTATTTACACCTTCCCACAAATATACGAGATAAAGCTACATATGTGGAGGCGTTTATAGCAGTATAGGTTACTGACAATATATTAAGAGTCATATTGTTATGTATAGATAACATATACTGTACTAACACCCTCAACTTGTTAATCAAGCTGGTTGGAAACAAGAACAGCAATTACATCAAACTTTATAATATTTTTTTAAAAAAGGATTTTTAATATAATTTCTTTTTTTTTAAAATGTACAATATTATTTTCTTTAGAAAGAGACACCCTTATATAATCTGGATAGGCCAATCTTTGAGACTGTTTAAATAACAATGTATTATTACAAATATTTTCCTTTGATGTTACTATGATTAATTATTCTTTCTGCATGTATACATTCAGGTGAAACATATAACAGGACTGCAGAGCAATGTGGTGATGGGCCATGCAGGAATGGTGCTACTTGTGAAGATAGTGTAAATGGCTTCAAGTGCTACTGCCCATCAGGTAAAAACTTTGTGAGAATTTCTTTAAATATATACATATATTTCTTACGCGGCTTCTTGGTTCCGCAAATGCTAATTGATGCAGGTATAATTTATTTAATTTGTAGTTTTGACATGGGTTGTACAGGTAGTCCTAGATTTATGACCTGCCATTATAACCATAAATGATGACAATTGTGAAGCAAGTCACACACATGACTGAACCAATTTTATGACCCATTGTGCAGCAGTTATTAAGCGACCAAAGCAATTGTTAAGTAAACCAGTTGTCCACTAGGTTTGCTGAAAACTAAAAGGAGATGCCAGTTGTCAACAGAACATTGCAAATCACAGTCACATGACTTCAGGATAGTGCAAACGGCTGCTAATGTGGCTGGTTGTCAAGTGCCTGAAATGCAGTCATGTGATCCTGGAGGGGACAGTCATTGGAACTTCAGAAACAGATCATAAGTACCCCTAGAGAGAAACTAAGCAACTGTATAATTTATTTTCTCTCTCACTCTCTGTCTCCTACAGGGATCTGTATGTTGATATCTCCTTATAGCTTTTCAGGCTACTCTTGCCTCACTCTAGACATTTCCTGGGAAGGAACTAGTAAATTATTTCCCTGTTTCATGGAAGATGCAGACTTGTTTATAAGTGCATTCACTGTACTTGCTTCAGCATATCATTAATTCATGTACACATCTACATTTGCCACTCTGTTGGTTGAATAGCACTCATTCTATGTATAAATGAGCCATTGCAGATTTAAAATGCTTTCTCCATATTTCCCTGTGTGGTGTTACCTCTAATGCACTGTGGGGGTCAGGTTGCACATTCAATGATGCATCATAAATAACTCAAATGCACCTTTTAAAACAACCTTTATTCCTCTGCAGAATTTTCAAGGTATATATATATAATCTTCCCCATAATAGAAACTGAATACATGAACAAACATAAAGCAATTGTGAAAATATGAGATGAATGTGGAAATCATTACTTTTGTAAAACAATTTGCATACCTGAGTACACTCTTCTTGCACAAGTGAAAGCACAACCTCTGGATTTTGGACTGAAGCATGAAAAACCTGCATGCTGGGGGGCAATCATCCTCCAGAGTTCACTAACTTTTTTTCAAACTTTTCAGACAGCTTTTATGGTCAGGCACAATAAATCAGGAAGCAAGGCAGTTCAAATAACTACAGGTTTATTGCATGCTAATGCTCTCTACAAGAATCTGAACTAGTAATGATCAAGGCAAATTGTAGATAAGAATCAACAAGATTCAAGATGGGCTGGACTTACTGTATATCTCTTGTTGGCATGGAGGATTTGAGGTTGATGACATGCTTGATCCCTCCCTCAGGTTCAGCCTGGTTATCTCCTACATTTTGTCATGTCATGTATGTAGAAGCACAAAAACAGCACTGCTTTCAAGCAACGTAACACTGAAGAGAATTATATCCTTATTTTAATTTATAATTCCAGTCCATAAGTGCAATTCATGTGGAGTTTTGCTACCTGACTGAAAACAGCCCAAGTATATAGAAAAACTGTAATGCGAAAAAGACTCTGAATATCTTCACTTTATTCTGTGTACTAGAATTTACTATTGCAAGATGCCCAAACTGTTTTCTGCCTCTGGCAATACATTTTGACATTCAAATAATGTGCATTATTTTGTCAGGTGAGGAATATCCAGTACATACATACATACATGCATGCATACATACATACATACATACATACATACATACATACATACATACATACATATCAACTTTTATGGCAATTCTGATTTAAAACTTTCCATACCATACAATAATATGCTACTCACTAACTTGAAATAAGGCAACCCTGGAGGCTGAAATGGTTTAACCTTCCCCCTTGGCACCAGTGTCAGTAGTGGAAATTAAACACCTTATTCAATCACTGAAAACCAAAAAGTAGTCACAAGAAACCTAGTACATGGTAAAGACTTCCTACCCCAAGGACTTTTTAGGACATACATTGAACACTGGGCTTCACTGCCGGAAGAGCTGTTTACTATCATACACTACTCAAGTTATATTCTAACAGTATGGGAACTCTCCATCATAATTTTAATATACAAAAAAGATAACGAAGACCCTAAAAATTACAGAATACAAGCATTCTTGATATAACAGCTAAGATGTATGCAAAACATATTTTGAGCAAAATAAAGGATTGGGTGATTAAGAGGAACATACAGTATTAGCGGAAGAACAGGCTGGTTTCAAAATTGACACTCTAGATAATTGCCCCATTCCTCTTATTCACATAATCTTATTATTAAATATTCAACATATGGTAAACACCTGCTTACATCTTTCATAGAGCTTAATGTGGCATATGATTCCATAAACTGAGATCCCTTATGAAAGAAGCTGATCAGACTAACACCTGATACAATAGGTTTAACACCTGATACAATAAAGGTCATCTATACAAATACATGTTGGAAAGTCCATACTGGAATTGATGTTTTTTTCACATATAGCATACCCAGTTACAAAGCTTTAAACAAGGATGGATCTTGACCCTGATATTATGTATGTCAATGTTTATTCCTTCACTGTATGGATGTTTGTGTGCCAAATATCCTTAACATACACTTTAACATCCTTTTATGTGCAGATGACATGGTTCTGATGGTCTACTCACAAGTAGATCTGAGAATTTGGCACCTATTGCCTCTGTATCTCTGAATATTAATAAGACTGAATCCAAAGTTGTGGTTTCTGTAAAAAGATGTTACCAAATATAACAAGCATTTGGATAGGGAGCCTATAGAACAAATAAACACTTTCTTATAATTTAGGTGCTTTTTACAGATACAGGGCCTTGGATTAAACACTTCAAATGAAGTCTAATTAAGGCCACAGCAAGTTCTAAAATGTTAACTAAATCATTCAATTATAACTATCCCAGCACTCTGGTCTCTATTTTAAAGATCTACAAGGCAAAAGTTGCACCAGTGCCAAAATATAGTGCAGACTTGTGGGGCCTGTCAAAGGTCTCCATACTGGACCAAAATGTCCCTGTATCTCCAAAAAACCACCCCAAGATATGACACAAATGTTTATTTGTTCTATAGATTTCCCATCCAAGTGCCATCTTTTTAAAGATCTATTTTGTGGAACAATAAAAAAGCCTGTAGCAGCTGTCAGAATTGAAACAGGCACCCACTCGGTTTATAGTATAACTGTATCAAAGTCTTTAACTATGAGTGGAGAATTCTCCCGTAGAACTTGATACATTGCCCTTTTTTAAATTTAGTTTTATTCATTTATAACAGTGTAAATACAAAAGCAAATAGTAGGGGACAACAGTAGAAAAAGGGAAAATGAAAAAGGTGTGAAGAAAGAGGGGGGGGAGAAACAAAAGGCATTGACTTCCAACTCTGTTGCAGTAAAATCAGACATTAAAACCAAATCTCAACTTTTTACATTTCTATAGTAGTGTGCACTAGCCATTTCTGTATCAGCAAATCAGTCAAGCATAAAGTCCAGAAGTGGTTTCCAAGTAGAAACAAAAATACTTATGTTCTTTTCTTTTTTCAGCATAGTCAATTTGGCCATCTCTGCTAATTCCATCAGCTTTTGTAACCATTTGTCCATGGTAGGAATCAAAGCCTCCTTCCACTTTTGTGCATAGAGCAATCTTGCTGACATCACCATATATAAAATCAGAGTTCCAAATTTTTTTTCCAGTTCTCTTTCCATTAGGCCCAGAAGGAAAGTTTCTGGTTTAATCTTTATGTTCACTTTAAGAATTTTCTCCATTAATATATGAATCCTACTCCAATATTTCTTTGCCTTATCACATGTCCACCATAAATGATTTAAAACGTCTCTTGTTTACATTTACATTTACATTCCTAGATCAGGTATGTCAAACTCGCGATGTCGACATATCGTGATTTTTCTCCATTGCCGGCAATGGGGTAGGCACAGTTTTGGTGAGATGCATCTGGCCCATGGACCAGCAGTTTGACATGCCTGTTCTAGATGATACATTGCCAAAAATGTCCCTTTAAGAACAGAAGGAGAAACCCATCACATGGATAAATTCAGTTGTCCAAATCATTGAACAGCGTGGCTTCTCGATGCAATATCTACTCTCAGTCAGATATCGGGCTAAGACAACATTCAAACAAAGAATCTTGGATGTCAATGCTCAAACTAATATTGAGTCACTTGCAAACCCCAGGTGGTTGAAATGGCAGGCCAAAAATAAAATGCCTTTTCAAACAGTAAAATACCTGACAATGGGCTTGATTCAATGCTCAAATGATTCCACTAAATATCTTCTGAAAGAACGTATGTTTGTGGTAGAGCATCAGAAATAGAAGACATTGTGCCTGTTCTATTGAACTGGCAATTATTTGCCCCAGCAACAGCTCAGTATGTAAAACCATATCCTGGGACTGTGACAAAAGATCACCTTATTTCTGCAAGGCACAAAGACATCTGTAGTTATTAGAACTACTGGGTTTATAGTTAGGGGCTGCTCAACTGAGAAGATATTTATTAGAACACATTGGAGTTGCATTTAAAGATGATGAATTCACATAAACACATATTTATTTTGTATTTTAATATTCATCTTATTTTACGTCTCTGCATTCCATTTCATTTACATTGTTTTATCTCACTTTTTAATATCTGCTTTATATTGCATTACTATATTGCTTTTATTATTTTATTTTATCTTATCATGGCTGATGCCCATGGCTTTGATATGGTCAATGAACTAACAAATAAAGTGATAGCATATTTATTTATTTGTTGGCCAGGGCAAGCACAGGAAGGCTTGTGAGCTTTCACCTTTTGCCATTAGGGTTACTAATGCCAAAAGGTTACTATTGGCAATTTATTTGAATGCAAATAAATGAGGTGATAAAATTAGGAAAATAATAGTTCAAGATTGCATTGTGGATAACATGGACTAAAACAAGGGTGATCCAGGTTCAAATCTATCCTTAACTATGGG